GATATGGATATGGATATGGATATGGATATGGATATGGATATGGATATATTTATTTATTTATTTTTTATTTATTTGTCAAGCAAGTATTAGATAACAGGTACAAGTATAAGCATGGTTATGAATACATGAAACGGTTATGAATAAAAAGAAACAATAGGACAGGGACGGTAGGCCCATTGGTGCACTTATAAACTCCCCCTATATATCTATATAGAGAGATATATTTACATATATATAGATATATATATTTATATATCAAGAAATTTGATAAAAACAAGGGATAGTTTTCCTGCAAGTTTCTCTTTCATTTGTAAAGGGATTTTATGTGAAGCAGGTACAGAGCATAATGAAATGTGTTTTCTTTTTCTGCAGCTGCATCTACAAAACATTGCTTGGCGTCCATTCGTAGGTCAAAGAGCTTCACATCAAGCAAGGAAGGCTTGCAAGCCACACTTTCTTTTAACATAGATATTAAACAATTCTCTTTTTGTATTTCTCTTTACATCTGGTGCATTTTATTTATTTTATCTGGTGTGTTTTAAATAAAATCGAATAGCATTTTAACACATTGCTACAATGAATCAAAAGTAGAAGTTTTATTGTCACTTATATTCATTGAATTGAATAAAATGAGTTCTGAACATGAAAACATTTATCATTTTGATATATGAACTTCAATAAATTGTTAAATTTGGAAGTAGAAAGATTTATTTATTGTATCTTTATCTCACCTTTCTAACTTTATAAGTAACTTTATAAGCAAATATACATAATATTCCTTCCTTCTCCTACTTTCCCCACAAGAACAACCACAACCCTGTGAGGTGGGTTGGACAGCTTTCATGATGGAAAGCTGTCATATCATGTCCTTTACCATGTACTACAATGAAGAAAAAAAATCTTTTCATTGTTAAGTCACATGTGAACATTACTCAGCACTGATATGATTAAAGTTTATTTATTTATTTATTTTGTTTGTCAATTGCTTACAAGATAATAGGTATAAGTAAAAACGTAGTTATGAATACATGGATACATATAAGAAAAATAAAAGAAACAATAGGACAGGGATGGTAGGCACTTTGGTGCGCTTATGCACGCCCCCTACAGACCTCTTAGGAAAGGGATGAGGTCAATAGTAGACAGTCTAAGGTTAAAGTTTTTGGGGTTTGGGGAAGAAACCACAGAGTCAGGTAGAGTATTTCAGACATTGACCACTCTGTTGCTGAAGTCGTATTTCCTGTAATCAAGTTTGGTGTGATTAACCTTGAGTTTGTATCTATTGCTTGCTCTTGTATTGTTATGGTTGAAGCTGAAGTATTCATTGACAGGAAGGACATTGCAATGTATGATTTTATATACTATACTTAGATCGGACTGAAGGCGGCATAGTTCTAGATTTTCTAGGTCTAGAATTTCAAGTCTGGTGGCATAAGGTATTCTGCAACGAGTAGAGGAGTGGACAACTCTTCTTGTGAAATATTTCTGGACTTTCTCAATTGTATTAATATCAGATACATGATATGGGTTCCAGACTGATAAGCTGTATTCGAGTATTGGTCTAGCAAATGTTTTGGATGCTCTAGTTAGCAGTGTAATATTACCAGAGAAAAAGCTATGTAAGGTTAGGTTAACAACTCTTAATGCCTTTTTGGCTTTGTAGTTACAGTGGGCTCTAGCACTTAGATCATTAGAGATGAGTACTCCAAGGTCCTTGACAGAGTTTGGATCATCAACAAGGTCTTGACTATTCAGCCTGTATTTTATTTTCTGATTTTTTTTGCCAATATGTAGGACAGAGCATTTATTTGTTGAGATTTGAAGTTGCCATTTGTTTGACCATTCTGATACATAGTCGAGGTATTTTTGAAGGGTAGCAGTATTGTCTGTGGTGTTGAAAAGCTTTACATCATCAGCAAAGAGGACGCAGTTGCTCTTAATATGATCACAGAGGTCATTTATGTAGAGTATGAAGAGAGTTGATCCTAGAACACTACCTTGGGGGACACCACTGTTGACAGGTACAGAATTTGATAGGACACTCCCAATTTTGACTCTTTGTTGTCTGTTTGACAGGAATGCTTCTATCCAGTTATGCAGGTGTCTAGAGATACCATAATATTTTAGTTTTAGGAGTAGTTTATCGTGATCCATCAATGGGGATCACAAAGAGGAACTTGTACAGAAATGTGTGGGGCACAACACTTTTTCATTGCTACCACACTGATAAAGATCACTTTGCTATATCAGATTAGTTTGGTACATTGACCTGAGTTTATTAGGGAAAGGGAAAAGTTCCCCTTGCTCATACCTGCTAGTTATTTCCAGCTCTAGAGGGCAGTGCTCATCTCCATTACAAAGCCAAAGAGCCAACACTGTCCAAAGACATCCCCATGGTCATGTGGCCGGCATGACTAAATACCGAAGGTGCATGGAACTGTTACCTTCCCACCAAAGTGGTCCCTATTTTTCTACTTGCATTTTTACATGCTTTCGAACAGCTAGGTTGGCAGAAGCTGGGACAAGTAAAGGGAGCTCACTCCGTTATGCGGTGCTAGGGATTCGAACTGCTGAACTGCCAACCTTTCTGATCGACAAGCTCAGTGTCTCAGCCACTTGAGCCACCGCATCCCTTTCAAGTTTATAAGCAAGATACAAATCAGCTGAAAGTCCAGGGAAAAGTCTTGAGAGTCTGGCATGCTATGGAAGTAGATGGAATGGGCCACCTCAGCCATCATTTCCAGCTCTCTGTGTATTGAATGTTCAATAACTTTCCAAAGTTAATTAATAACATCCAAGAAATGGTTTGGGTTCAGATCTCACTTAAGATTCAGGGAACCAAATGCCATGGCTTGATTTTGAATACAATGCAGCTAGGATCTAGTGAGCTGAAGATTTTAAAAAGTACAGTCTTCAATTCATATCAAGACTGAAAAGAAAAAAGCTGGACACACTGCAAAAGCTCATGAATAAACGGAAATAGTTCCAGTTTTGGGTTGATGCTTTCTCTTTCTTTACAAGGTCTGTTAACTCTCCTTGCTTCATGCTCTTGAGGGGTTGGCCAAATATTTTTGTGCCATAGTGAGACTCTGATTTCATTGAATCACTGCCTCAATTGCATAGTAAATTGGCCAGCACTGTCTCTTTTGGGGGCTGCTGAACATATTTATAGCTCAAAAATGGCGAAGGAGCCAGAGGTGGTTTGATCCTAGCTGAAATGCTAAATGCAAACTATTTATATCAGTGATCCCCAACCTTTTTTACGCCGCGGCCCGGTACCGGCATCAGCTGGGCGCCTCCATCTTTTTTTGATGAAAACGTGCTTCCGGTGAGCTTTCTACCCGGAAAAGCTCACCGGAAGCGCTGGCGCCGCCATCTTTTTTTGATGAAAACGTGCTTCCGGTGAGCTTTCTACCCGAAAAGCTCACCGGAAGCACTTTTTCATCAAAAAAAGATGGTGGCGCTCAGCAAGCCAGCGGCCCGGTAGGACCTGTTCCGCGGACCGGTACCAGTCCGCGGACCAGTGGTTGGGGACCCCTGATTTATATGGTAGTCCTTCTAACCTTATATTGCCACTCTTGAAAAATTAATGGCATTGATCAATTTAAGATTTTAAAATATAAAATATTTTTAAAATATGCAGGTCTATCCTGACTTCAGCAACTTGGAGTCAACAGCAAGGGGATGCCATTGCCAGAACTCAAAAGTGGTCAAATGCTGGGTTTTGCCTAATCCTGTCCCAGCTGGGATGAAAATATTCAAAGTCATTAATTCACATTATGCAGTGGAGAGATTTGTAACTTAAAAACATATTCGTAAGAGAAAATCAACTTTCAAGAAAACAATGAGATTATCTTCTAAGGAGAAAATTCAGACACACGCACATATTTCAGTTTTTAAAATGAGACCTTATACGTTATTGAAGTGTAAATCTTTCAATTTGTGTAAAAAAAGTCAAGGTTTTAAGCTGCCTTATTTTGATTTTGTTGTGTTTTTAGGCTGTATTAGAAAACTTTAAAGAATTGTCCTAGAGACTGTTGACTTTCTGCAGTGCAGTACTTCCTGCAGATGATATTTACGGCAATTTTGGATAAGTTGCAGAAATAAATTAAAAGGAATTTTCTTCTTTTCAACATGCTATAATTTCTCTTGATAAACATTGGATGGGTATTTTCATCTGTTCATGTAAGTGATGAAACAAAAATACAGTTTTGAGACATTTTACATACCAATAAGTTTATTGCAGCATAGGCTTTCAGTTTATCATACCACTTATATGGCGTGACATCGCCAATTAGGAATAAATGCATATCCATAGAGATGTAGGCAATCAAAGTGAAATTTAATGCACTAGGTGCAGAGAGTAATAATTATCCACGTGGTTATTTGTAATATAGTTTCACAGTTCCCAAACTCAGCAGTTGCAGCACCAATGGAGGGTGCTGCAATGAACTCACAGGAACATCACATGATACTCCAGTGATACTTGACAACTGTCAGATACCACACAAACTACAAGCCTAGGATCAGTGTAAAAAAATATTGGGTTGAAGGCACTGAAGACCAAGATCATTTGGAAATCTCTGCTGAATATAATATGGAACTTTTTGCATGGACAGTGTTGGTTGTTCATGGTAATCCAACCAAGGAGCACAACTAGGAGTATTAGCTCTATCTTTATTGCACAGTTATCTTGCAATTTCTCCCCTCCTTTCCTTTTACACACCAGAATACTAGGGAGGTTTCCTTCTGAAATGTTTCCCGTGCCCTCCATCCTTCTGTGGGCTGAGATCTCTTTTACAAGCCAGTTGTCCACTCTATGGCTTTTCCTCCTGACTCCTAAGATCATTTCCACATACTATTACAGCGAGTGACTGGACTCACTCATCATACAGCTCTTAGGTAGGCAATGATGGTCACTGGCCCCCCCATTTATTTATTTTGCAGCCTGCAGAGCACACTCAGAATTTCAGTGACAAAAATAATACTTTTTAAGTGCCTCTTTATCATCTTTAAGGCCACGTACACTTAAAACCTGACCGAAGAAATAGCTTAGCCTAGTAAAAAAATGATTTCAGCTTGGTAAAAAGCACTGACCTCTGCTTGCAAAGCAGAGCGATAGGAATAGCTCATGCAGCTCAATAAAAGCAAAGTGAAACCTCAAGGAGTAGTTGTGAGAATTCTGGCTGCTGTGGCTTCATTTGATGCTATTGGATAAGACAAAGGGGATTCTGGGTTTCAAGGAAGGGGAGCTATGGCTATAGGATATCATTAACTGACCAAATGTGTTGCATAACTATGTAAGTTGTTTCTTCAACCTTGCAAAGCGGGCAGAGCCTTGTATTCTGCCCCTGTGGGGTTACAATGAAAGTGCTTGAAAGCAGAGGTTCTCGACTCACTAAAAAGGGTAAGGGGCTTCTTTTGGACAGAAACTGACTTTGAGCTATAAACTCCTATATCTGCAGTTCCATTAACAAATACAACATATTAGGTTGGAAAGGAAGCAGATATGCAACTCCACCATGCTTTGTCCAATGCTGTGGGAACTAGACTAGACACGGTTGCAAATTTGACAACTGTACGTTCTGCATTATTTGATTTCTCTGGGGGTACCTTAATTAGCAGTTGTAGTTTGACTAGACTAGATTGTCAATGAGTAAGAGAAGGTCTAAAGAAGATTTTCCAGGATGACATATAGTATTAACTGCTGATTAAACTATTGATTGGTTTTAGTTAGAAAATATACTGACTGTTATATTGACTGT